TTCTATCATTCGTAGGCGCTCCGGATCAACCCCTAGATCTTCCTGCATTTCCCCTAATTTTCGGTAAGAGCAACATTCGATAAATCTAATTCGATAGTAGAGTATAAAACGTATGTTAGTTATTCATCGACTTCTCTTCGAGATACACAGGCAAAAGAGTGATAACGGGAAGTATAATTGGGGGAATCAAAGAGACTCAGGAGATGATGGATTTGTGCGGGAAGCACAACATAACTTGTGACATAGAGATCGTGAAGACGGATAGCATCAACGAGGCATTGGATAGGCTTGAGAAGAACGATGTTCGATACCGATTTGTTATTGATATTGCTGGGAGTTTAAGCCCTAGGATGTAGAAGATGACCAGTGCTAGTTCAATGCTAAGCAGTTCTCGTCTTCTTTCCTTTATTTATGTTGTTCAATTTTCTAGTCGACTGCAATGTGACGGCAATAAAACGAATTTGATTTGGATAATGAGTACTTTTGTTTTAAACAAAGTTTGCTAGGGGTTTTGTGAAATTTACCCAAACATATTTTCCTTCAGCCTGATCTTCTGGGGCCTGGGCTCATTTGCATATCGGGGCGTTGATAAAATAAATGGGTTGGGCTCGAACTTAGAGGGGAACATAACGATTCCTTTTTTCACCCCTTCAAATTAATCTTGTCAGAAACACATAAGAGAAATGATAGAGGCACACTCTTCAGTGGGCCTGGTGCATTGTAGCAAGATGGGAGGTGTGGTTGGAGGTGTGATGGAGAGTGTGCCTCTAGTGCCTCTCAACACATAATCGAAGGGGAACAGAAAAAATAGGTGTCCTTGTCTCATAATGGGCATGTTTGGATAACATGGTCATTTTTGTATGGTGCTTTTAAAATACCATGGTGTTTTTCTCTAAAACTGTTTTCAAAACATAATGGTAATTATTTTTGGTCAACAATAGTTATTAATATATTAACTTTTATTAATAATATTGTAGTTAACATTTTATTTTTATAATATAGTATAATAATATTATTATTATATAATAATATTATATACTAATAATATTATTATATTAGTATTTAGTATAGTATATGTAATTTATCATTAATAAGCTATTTGCTTTATAATATATATTTATTTTTTCAATATTTTATAACAAAATATACTATTATTTATTGTATAATATATTATGAATATATTGAATATTTAAAGCTTTTATATTGAATATTTAAGCTTTTATTCTTAGATGATTTACCATTTTATTATTAAATAGTATTATTACATAACATGTTAAATTTGTTTAATATATTATATAATATATTATTCAAACATTAATAATATACTTTATTAATTAAATAATATCATTGAATAATTTTTTGTTATATAATTAAATATTATATCGTTACTATAGGATTATATAATAATAATAACTTATTATTTATTGTTTATCATTTCTTTTATTATTATTTACTATTAATTTAATATATATAATATATATATAATAGTATTTAAAACACCATGGAAAAACTAAAAACACTGAGGTATCCAAATCGCTACGAAAGTAATTCGTAACTTTTTAAAGCTTGTTGTTTCCCAAAAATGAAATTTTAGAAAAAAGTTTATGGGCCTTAGAAATTTGGAACTCCAAGGTGCATCTTAGAAAGTTATGGATATTGTATTACTAGATTTTATGCACGTGCAATGCACGTGGTTAAATACTGTGATTATGTATTTTTGGTTTATTTTTTTACTAAAATTTATTCATTAGTTACTCTTTGATAATATTTTTTGCTCACTTTGATTAAGTATCTTTGGTTTATTTTCTACTAAAATTTGTTCCTCGATTACACTTTGATTATTTATTTATTTGATGTTTGTTTGAATAGGCTACATCCAATTTAATTTTTATGTTAATAGTTGAATTGTCAGAAGATAAATATAATCTAAAGCTAATTTAAATTTTTATTTCATTTGGATCGGCATGAAACTGAGTTTGACCTGAGGAAGTATAGTGTTATGAAAGTGCATGAATACACTTGAAAAAATAACATTATAAAAGGAAGATGAATAATAAATCCAACGAGCCAAGATGATTGATTTAAAATGGGCTAAAATGACAGAAAACGGTTAATGAAAAAAATCATAAACTGAATATTAATGCTAACTCTAGTACACTTTTATATGATAAAAACATCCACATGTGCATATGAAAGCACTAAAATAGTTTATGAAAATCCCTTCTAAATATTCCTAATTTTACTAAAAAATAAATGCATATGAAAGCACTAAAATAGTTTATGAAAATCCCTTCTAAATATTCCTAATTTTACTAAAAAATAAAACTATTCTATAACAATTCACAAAACATTAAAAAATAAAACTATTCTATAACAATTCACAAAACATTATCTTTTGTTACTTCTATTTTATTTTTATTGAATCAAGATCAATCATTCTTCATCTTTACATTTTCCCTAGATAATTCTAGAGTAGTAGTGTTTTCATCGTCTACATCGATTTTGATATGAGACTGGAGCATGTTATTTTTTCTTGGGCTCATTCATTTTTTGTCTTCTAGTCTAAATTCACAAAAAAGTTGAATATATTTTTTATATTCAACACAAACTTCTGACAATACGGACTTTGATTTTTTTCCTATTTTAATAAGAATAAATATTAATTTTATATATATGAATTTTTTACGCTTTTAATTTATTACTTAAATAAGGTTAGGAGCTACCTCTATTTTTCTGCAATGAATTCTTCTGTTGTGCACCCAATAAGAATTTCTGCTGTGTCATAATATTATATTTTCTTTGTATGTGTCATTTTCCATAAGGATCTGAACTAAATACATTAAATTTTTTATTGTCAATTTACTTTAGATTATAATATTAATATTTAATTTTGATATATTTATTTCATGAAGAAGGGATATCACTTAACCTTAGTACTAAATCATCGGCGATTCTACAACACTTATCATCTGGACACTTATTATTAACATCTTTATCCACTTTCTTATTACGGCCTTTGCAAACATAGAATCATTGCTCAACTCTATTATAAATGGTAATTATCGTTGCCTTAAAGGTGATAGTGTGCCTGTATATTAGTAAATTATTCTTAGGTTTAATTATATAAATTTTAGAGTAGGTTTTCTAAGATCATACATCTTTCAAATGTTATAATGGTTGTATATATTAGTAATTTGAATTTTTGTTGTATTTATAAAGAGCCTTAATGGAGATACTTTGTCTTGGCAACTTACTCTAAAAGAGCGCTGCATATTAGCTTTAAAATGTAATATTTTTTTCTTTACGGTGTTATATGGATGTTTGCTTGGTTTACTTACTATTCTCTTATTTAATCAGTAAGTTATATCTTTGGATTGATATATATATATTATTGACGTAATTTACGATGACATGCATATCTCCTCTATAAATTTGAGACATATATAAGGTGAATTTTATATTTAGTGGCCTTTAATAATAATTTTACTAATAAAATATATTACATTCATACTTAGAGATCTTTCTTGAATCCTAATAGTGCTATTACATCATTATCTTATGTAGTGTCTTTAAGAATTGATCATTCATTAGTAGTCATACCCCTAAATAAAGTCGCATCCAGGGTCGTGATACTATATAAGAAAAAGAAAAAGGCCGATTTTATATTTTTTGCTTACGCAAAGTATAGTAATTTTTCTTTTATCTTCTATGAAGAATGTTTCTTTGATGAGCACAAAGTTATTCAATATATTATTCAGGGGGTATTCAGTCGGTGTTTTTTTGATAAATATAACTTATGTTAGTGTTAATTGAAGTGATTCATGGACAGATATATATTATCTTTAAAATGTAATATTTTTTTTCTTTACGGTGTTATATGGATGTTTGCTTGGTTTACTTACTATTCTCTTATTTATTCAGTAAGTTATATCTTTGGATTGATATATATTATTGACGTAATTTACGATAACATGTATATCTAATCTATAAATTTGAGACATATATAAGGTGAATTTTATATTTAGTGGCCTTTAATAATAATTTTACTAATAAAATATATTACATTCATACTTAGAGATCTTTCTTGAATCCTAATAGTACTATTACATCATTATCTTATGTAGTGTCTTTAAGAATTGATCATTCATTAGTAGTCATACTCCTAAATAAAGTCGCATCCAGGGTCGTGATACTATATAAGAAAAAGAAAAAAGGCCGATTTTATATTTTTTGCTTACGCAAAGTATAGTAATATTTCTTTTATCTTCTATGAAGAATGTTTCTTTGATGAACACAAAGTTATTCAATATATTATTCAGGGGGTATTCAGTTGATGTTTTTTTGATAAATATAACTTATGTTAGTGTTAATTGAAGTGATTCATGGACGTTCCGAATTCCATTTGAAATGAAAACCGCTTGATTCTTTTGAGGGATATCTCTAAATTTTCTAATAGTTCTCCATACATAAATATTTATAATTTTTTACCTAATAAATATTATTACCATTAGAGATCAATATTTATAAATTATAATTAATTAATATTAAGCTATTATATTATAGTATTTTATCAGTTTTTTGTGATTTAGTCTTCTATCAATTAATAATACTTATGTATTTTTGGTGTTCCAACATATTGGTAAAATTATATGTAGTTACTTTAATTTATACAATAACATTAATTTTTAATCTATCATATATTTTTTAAATTTTTTATTATTTAACTGGATATTTTTAATCTGTTATTATTACTATTTTTTACCAGTATCAACTTGACTATTTTCAGATCCTAAAAAGGGATAGTAAACCTTAAATTATAACTTATATTTATATATCTTAATAAAAAAAATATCACACAATTACTCTTTTATTTGCCAAGTTCTAAAATTTTTAGCTTTTTATTTTGTGTAATTTTAAACTTTTGAGAGTATTTTGTCTAATTTCCAAAACTTTTTGCTTTTTTTTGTAATACTTTATGTAATAAACTGATAGTACGGAGATGTTTCATATATTTTATTAATCTTATTTAAATTGTTGAGCTATACATAGTTCATGGGGTTTTAGGATAGGATATAAGTATGATTAGTATAGATTATAATTTAAATTAAATATTTAAAATAGTACAGTGTAATTTTGACTATGGAAAGCTTTTCCTGAACTCGTTCTTTTAAAGGGAGTATGGTTTTTTATTTTCCTTAATTTGTTTTTATAATTTTGAGAATGACTTTTGTCTCTTTAATTTGTTTGGTGGATTTATAAATATCTCACCATATTATGTAAATTTATTGGTCTACGTTGTTTTGGGTTTGATCTTTGGGGTAGACATTATTTGTCTCATTAATTTATTTATTTTTTATATACGCCCTTCATTTTGTAGACATTTATAAATTTGGTATTTAATAATTTTATTTAGATTCACATTTCAATTTAAATTGTATCATTATCTTTATACTATGTAAATCTAATAAGAATTCATCAATTTATCAACTTGCTCTTACTTAATGGAATAATATTTGAATTCCAAGGGTATTTTTGTCTATCAAAAGATTTTTCCGAACCGGTGCTTTTAAAGAGAGTATGATATGATGATGCTAATTGAAAGACTGTACGAAATTAACTTTATCGTTGAGAGCCAAAGGGACATTGCTCTCATTGGTTAGGTGGTAAAATTGGATAATTAGAGAATCCACCAGTAAATTTGTTTGTTAATTAAAAATAGGACGAGAAGCCTTGCTCAAAAGTATATATTAATAAGCAACCTCATAGAATATATTTTAGAGTTATCAGATCCTTGTCGGCACTTGTTCTATAAAAAAGTAGAATGACGAGTGGACCATTAGTCGCTACTGGTCTAATAGACAAAATCGTCTTTATTCCGAAAAGAATTTTGAATTTTTTTCTTAGAAATTAGTTTTGTCTGATGGGATTATGGTTAGTTTAAAACAAAAACAAAAGCACAATTGACACTTTCTGTTGAGGTTACTAATATATGAATATAGTCTTACATTTCTCAACTCCTGTTCAAAGTCCGGTAACTCTAAATTAGGCCAGATTTATTCCCCACCAACAATAGGGTAAGGTTAATGTCCAAGTAATCTACTTCTTTATTACTAAAAGAGAACAACAAAAAAGTGTTAATGAACAGTAAAATTTATCATTATCCACGTATTTCACTTCATTTTTTTATTTATTCCCGTAACTGATGCTAACATAAAAACTTCCTAAATAAACCACCCCACCCCCTCATACCGCCCACGTTCCCCATTTCTCTCTCTCTCACGTTCCCCATTTCTCTCTCTCACGTTCCCCACCACTTTCCCACGACTGTTTTTAAGTTGCTCCGTTTTGCAGTTGCCCACCAATTCCCCATCCTCAACCATCCCATTCGAATCAAGAACTCCTCCCTCGACCTTTCCATCTTCAACAATCTTCTCCATGTCCTTCTTGCTGTGTCGATGGCGGTGATGGCGATGGCAGTGATGATGGTCTGAGCATGTAAAGTGCCAAGTAGGCGAAACTATAGGGTATTCAAGTGCAATTGAGCCTTTTTTTGGCCCAAAAACAAGTGCTTAGAGTTACATAGCGTGGTCGTTCCCCAACCTTCGTCTCCCCGCCAAGAGCTCTCCAATCAAGGTATTCACCTCGAACCTCTCGCTCTCGCTCACTCATCTTCTCAGGGCTTCCCCCCCCTTCTTCTCACTCCTTTCTCCTCTTTTCACGAATTTATTGTAAAAAAAGTTTTGCCCTAATTTGTATGTTTTCGTCATATTTTTTGCCTTAATTTGTGTCAATTACATTTTTGCTCTGGAGTTTCTCCTCCCCTCACATCCTGCTCCATTTTACACCTCTTTTTTTATTGCATTTTTTTTATAATCTTATCCTAAATGCGTCAAATTAATCATTTTTGCTATCACATTGAATATGTTTTAAACTTACCCAAATAAGAATTGATTGATTTTACAAGGTAAACGAATGTCAAGAAATGAAACTGACCTCATATGCGATTCGAGCCTGGTAACAACGAATGAATAATATTTTTTTTTAATTTTTTGACTTTTTAGGATATTAATTGTAGCCTTAGGAATCATGATGGGTTCGCTAAGTTGTTGCATGCACTTTTTGTGATGGGAAATGAGAGACCCTTTAGCTGTGATTATGCCTCTTTGAACATGCAAGGCAAAACATGGGTACTTTCAATGTGAATATGTGGTTAAGCATGATTACTGCCCTGTTTATTATGCATCTTTGTTTACTATGACAAAGTTTGTTGAGTTATTTTATGATGCCTCTTCAGTTGTTGTGGTGGATATAATGGATTGGGATCCTCTACTCATCAATAGTAACTCTTAACATTTGCTAATGCATCTCCACCTTTCATTTTGTGGATAAGCACAAAATGAAAGATGGTCCTACAAAACGAAAGGTGAAGATGCATTAACAAATATTAGGAGACACTATTGATGAGTAGATGATCCCAATCCAAATATAATAGATGTCAAGTTCAAGTCACGGTGTTGATGAAGTGGCGGAGCTTTCCCCTTCACAAGTGGAGGACTTACATTGTAGATATGACAGAAAAAAAGTGAGGAGAAATGACAGAGATAATATGATAAATTAATCTGCTCAATTTCATTTTCTGCCTAACCTAACCCATTTTATCATTTGATATAAACTAATTGCCTTACTATGTATCTATTATGCAGTGCAACATAATGTTTTCAAAGTACTGATCAAGGATCTCAATGTCCAAGAGGCGGTCATCATTGTAAGTTTATTAGCAAATTCATATTCTATGAAGCTTTTCGTGTTGAATTAAGTTATATTGTCCATAAATACTAGATTATGACTCTCTTTTCTTTGTCCATAAATATTGAATTGGAATCTTCCTGGTTGTTATTTGTATCATTCATAGATATTAAGATAAGTTATTATTTTGTCCATAGATGTTTAATCATATTATGTAGTTGTAATTATGCAAAAGTCTAACATGTATCTTGAAACTTAATTTCCATACTTTTGTTAAAAGTAATTACAGTAGATTTGATCTTTTTATCTGTATATGTAAAATGTTTGCTGTTTTATTTAAAGACTCTTTCTATATGTATATTTACCGCTACTAAGTCATTGCAATTAAGAATATTGTAAGATTTACAGGAGCATATATCACGATTGTCAAATTAAAAATCAGGTTAGAGGATTACTGGATCCATAATGTTGAACTTCACAACTATATATATTACTTGAAGGGATAAGCAAGAGATTTAACTATCTATGTTTCCATGTTTAAATATGGAATTCAAGTACATGATGAATTCCCAACATATACCTATCTGCATATCCTCATCGGTTATATATAATAGTGATGAAACAAGTAATTATTGTACATAAAGCTTGAATGGAGTTATTGTTGGCTATTGATGTCTATTTGCATATCCTCAATGGTTATATATAATAATAGATATTAGACTAATATCCTATAATGTATTCTTATATCATTACTATATTTAAATATTATCATAATTGAACATAATATCTAACATATTCTTTAAATAATGGATAATTAATTTTTAGCATATGAAACAATGTATATAAAGTATAAGATAATTTAAGATAAATTTCAGGTGACAAACTACAAAAAATAATGTGGGGAAAAATTAGTCTAATATAAATAATCTGTAAGGATATCGTGCTTAGCACGGGATGAATACTAGTTAAAAGGAGAAAGAGAAAAAAAAAGTATAGTGTCCCGGAAATGTTTGGAGAACCCATTCTATATATAAAGATTAAAGTATAGTTAAAAATTAAACTATATAATTGGGCCAAATTTATCCCCCAACCTTCCTTTGCACGCTTGTCGATAAAAATGTAAAGAAAGCAACTTTCTTCTCTTTAGTGAAGAGAAAGAGCCCCTTGTTTACACCTTTTATTTCCCTCCTTTACTTTTTTCCGTCTCCTTGGTAAGAGGCGGTTTGGTTAAGTGGTTTTATAGAAAACTTTATAGAAAATGGCTAATAGTAGCAGTTTTATAAATAATTTTTTTTTGGGGATTTCTATAAACTGTGTTTGGTTCAAAAAATTTTACAAAAAAGTTTTCTATAAATTACAGAAAAATACCCTATTTTATAGAAATCAATTTCCGCTCAAAATGGGAGTAAATCAACTAGAAATCTGACATATATATTAAAAAATAATTAAGTACATAAGTACTCTTCCCACGTGATTTCCCATGGGCATTGTTAGTAAGCTATTTTCTATAAAGTGACATCCAACCAAAAAAAAAAACAACAACATATTTTCTATAAAGTTAGAAATTTTTTCATACTTTGAACCAAACAAAGAAATAACAAAAAATAAGAAATATGGTACTCTTTTGAGTTTTATAAAATTTTCCTACAAATTTTATAGAAATACAATGAAATCAAATTTTCAGTACTTTTCTTTTTCCTTTTTTTTATAGAAACTAGTATGTCATACGTGCGTTGCACATGATGCATATTAACAAACTACATGAGTTTAAATATTTGAAGGCCAAGTAATTTTTTACTCACCAATTTTACAATTATTTATTAGACACATTCTTAACATAGAACATATGCTACCTGCACATTGCTAGTAGTTTTAAACAATCATCCACTAAATAAGTTTTCATGTGCATCCACTAAATAAGTAATTTCAGGTTTCATAATTTTCCCATCATATCATTTCGTAAGCCTATAGATTGTAGAAAATGATTTTATGAGCAAAATTTCGTAGGCAGGTTGAGAACATCAACTTCAAACTTATCATTGCAAGAAAATGTTTTAACCCTTCATCCTCCCATCCAATCAGCCATAGTATTTGAAACATAGGGGTGATACCTGTATTCACATTTTCCAACTGATAAAATCCATGAAATTTAAAGATACCACAAATCCTTAAGTTAATAGCGAGAATGTTTTTAAAAAATAGAATATCCAACTCATCATCCTGACCAAAAACCAAATTATGAACCCCACAAAACAATTTAAGTCCCACTTTGTCAAAATTCAAAGAGCCAGGACATTCGCCAACAAATATCAACAATTAATCTAACATTTCTAAGGCAACAACAGAGAAAAGCACACAAAAGCCTCTACCAACCTCATTCATTAGACACAAGAAAGCAACGCAACGGAGGATAAAACAATGTAACACAAGCAACAAGTTCATCTCATGTAAAAAGACGCAGAACTAGCTCCACACTTCATATACACTATCACCAGTTCAAGCTACTCAACATCAAAATAGAACCATTTGTTCATATGTGAAAGTTCCCTAAGTTACGAATTTTGTACGTGGAAAATTATTTCTTTCCTCTTAGTTTCACTCTCAAGACCCTCTCAAGTTTGGTAATTTTTTTCTGATTTGGAATTGCCTTTCTTGACGCTTACTCTTGAATCACTCGAGGCTTCTCATTGATGAGTTGCAACATCAAGGATGTATGTTAGTCTACAATCTTGAGCGAGTCATTAATGGAAACCAGAGAAAGTAACAAGAAAATACCTGTGCATTTTTTGCCTGGCTGAATTTTTATCCATTTGAGCTTGCATTATGTTTTTCTTTAGTTTAGTTAGGACTCTCTCATCTTAGCAAATTAGGACAAGTTAAACAAAACAAAACAAAAAGGAGCAAGTATTATTACTCATTACCATCAATACAATCCTGTAAAAAGCTCAAAAATGTATGCTACCTAGTATCTACATTAACAGTACAAATAATATTCAATGAGTAATTGAAACTTCATACATGTTTCAGACTAATATCAAGTGGGTGTGGTCTTAAAAGTTATGATGCATGTTTCGAACTTTTGCAATTTAAAACAATGAAACAAGAAACTAGAGCTAATTCTGAATTGGAAATTGCAGAAGTAAATGAAAACAAAAAATTCCTTGCAAAACTAAAGTCTTGTTGTTCAAGAAAAGAGATAACATCTTATTCATTTCATAGTATTTCAATAACTCATGTTGCTATGTTCAACATGATTGAAAATTTTAACTCATTCAACCTTTAGATTAATTAAAGTACACGCATTTTCACCTGAAGTTCTCAAGAGATCTACCAATCCACAACTAAATATTTGGAAACCAAGTAAACTGGTACATCTCCACATAGATAACTATGGAAGGAAGTAAATACGTTTGTCTCCAAAGTCCTAGAATTTATAGCGCCTCAATAATGTCCTCTCACAGTCCTTGATATAGTTAATAAAGCATATCCCGGGACAACAAAAGATGATGAAGTTAGGGGGATACACCCAATGACAGAAAATGAATGGGTAACATGCAAAAGTTCTAATAATAGTGATTTATGAACTCTATATTATGCACAGTTTCTTATTGAGTTTTCTCCATCTCAACGGCTATTGAATATTATCCAACAATGCACCGGTCAAAGACAGATTCTTGGTAAACATGGAGATGGCTTTGTATAGATGGACAACCTTCACGTCATGAGCAGACAAAACTATACCCTAAAGTATTATGAACTTGTTTTTTTATGCTCAAAAGGATGCATAAAAATATCAAGTGCTAATATTTTAAATGAGGCAAACATTACACAAATAAACATTTGCAAAGATACTATTACTGGGCATAAGATACATGGCAACATGAGGGTAAATTGCATGAAAGAAATGCTGACTACTCTCACAAGTAGATGTTTACTAACAAAAATAACCAGACACAAGTTCTGAATATATTTAGTTCATGGAATTGAAGGTCTTTGAGAAGAGGAGATATAGTAGATGTGAAAGCAAACAATCGGACATGCACATACGCATACACGTGAAGGTTTTAGGATGTTTCTCTGCACGCTTACATGTAAACACACTGATGAGAAATAAATGAAAGAAATCCAAAAGAGGAAGGTGGATAAACTTAAAACATTAGCAGGGTGAAAACACTCACGGGTATCCTCAGCAAGCTTTCTCGTGTTCAAGGAAGTGCTGCTAGAAGCAACTTTGTTTGAACTAACAATAGCCACCCATGTAAAACAAAAAAGAATAAAAATCCTTTGCACATTTACAAGTAGAACATAATGTGATTCATTTATTTATACAGTACCAGCACCCTTGTATAGTACAAAATTATAACATGTAAAGCATAATATCCGAACACTAAGCATATGAGGTTTTGATAGTATATAGCTATTGGCATGTCATGGACTCATGTGGCTCAATAAAGCAGTCTTCATTCCCTGGTTGAGTGCTGTATACTCTGTAGCATTGTTGGTTCCATGCTCCAAACCCTCATGAACTCGATTAATCTGGTCATATCCCAGATCAAAACACATCAACTCCTCTACTAAAACCCTAACCAAAAAAAACAAAAAAACAAAACAAACTATGTCTAGGTGTTTAACCAAAAAATTACCCTGATCTATTTTTGAAACTATCAACTTCCAAGGTTATTTCTAAACCCAAATTCCAACCTGCTTTATTTTTAAACCCATTTTACATATTTCATTAGTTTTATGCATATGATCTTTTAGAAAAAAATAGTTTACGTATGACATTTTCTAGGAGTCATTAGAATGTAAACTATAATCCTATCACCCTTGTTATAACTTTAGAATTTTGATATAATGGCTAGAGAGAGACTTTTGCATAATATTAGGGACAAGTTCGAATCTCACAAGTATCAGAGCCGCAAATTTAATTCAATTTTTTTTTTAAAAAATTTATTGTTCCCGCAACGTAATATCTGATCATAACCCATTAAAAAAAATAGCATTCTACCTACAAAAAATCCAATTAAAGCTTTAGAAAATTTCACCACCAATGTCTTTCATAGTTCATCCATTACAGTTTCTTTTATGTTGGCAATTCAGAAATCACTAAAAGATTAACTTAAATCTTGAAAATTAAATTCATAACACGAGCTTACTAAAAATAAGTAATAGAAGACGTTCTTCACATGATCACGAACTTTAGTTTACTAAAATGGAAATTAAGAAGTAAATTTACCTCGATAGGTAGATTCTCACAACCTAAACCTCTGATCGCTACATCAAAATTAGAAGGAGAAAAATTAGAAATATTACCAATAATCAGAACTAATCACAATGTTGGGTATATGCTTTGTCAGTGACTGATGGTTGCAATCGGAACCTAAAAGTATAGCTAGAAATAGCCACAAGATAGCTCCAATTATTCGATCATGTTAGATGTAAACCATTGGTTAGATCAATAGAAAAGTTATTGTGAAATCAAATCGATGCATAACTATAAAAGACATCATATAGTCTCTACAACTTGAGAAATTTTATTCCTATAAATTGTCAGCTTGAATAATTTTTTAGCCGGTATAAACTATGTTCATGATAGCATGATTAAGACCATGAAAATAAATGACAAAAAAGATAAGATACTAGTGCATATAAAATAACATTATTATGAAATGGATCAGTATTAAATGCAGAGGACATTTGTGCTTAAGCTAAACTCATGCCAATTGTATGCTAACTACTTATCAAAAACAACACTCAGGTGAAAGTAAAATATAAGTAGGAATGTTGTCATATAAATTTGAGGATATTTTTTTAATAGAGAATGCAAAATGTATCATTTAACTTTTTGGAACATGAATATATAAATTTCCTATTGAGTATCACAAGCACATTACATGGTTGTACCATTTATGTGTTTCGACATACATTATTTTTGTCCTAAGATATATAAGCATTATGTGTATTTATAGTCCCCATATGCACCACCTTCAAAAGTGGGAAAGCTACAAGCTATCACATAGTTATAGTCCCGCCATAATATCTCTCAGAACTTAACTTGGTACTAACCAACCCACCGAGCAGTCTCTAATCGCTGGACGATAGGGGCTGAAGTATTTTCCGATGTAGGAGTTGACATCAGGGAAGGATAGTGTACCATGAACCAAGATACCAAGTAGATATATGACATCGGCACCCGAGGAGTAGGAGTCTGGATAATAGTCTTCCCGTCTGATTTCAACTTCTTAACCTCAATAAATTCAGAGGCTAACTCCCGAAGGTCACTCTGCAGACAACATACCATAGCCGGCAGGAGATTCAGAGGTCGTCCATAAGCCAGAAGAATAATTGGATATAACACTTCTATGGTAATGGCATCTATAGGACTGGTTGGTACTACACAACGTTTCAACCAAAGTGTGAGAAAACCAGCAAACAAGGCCATGTCGAAAATTAAGATCTCGACCTGATAGTGAAAACTTTCAAACATAGTGTATGTCGGGAAAACATCTTCCTTTGCATCACAAGTGTAATGGGAGGTTGCATCGTCGATGCACTCATGAATTTCTTCCAGTGTGCTGGCAGCCAAGCGAGTTACTTCTGTATCCTTATCATACAAATTTTGAAAGAGATACTCAGCCCATTGTCCTTGTTTGACACCACTCGCTCGCTTACCGGTAGTCTGTGCACATATCTAAAAATGGCACATTAACTCCCAATAAGTATCATAGATTTTTGGAGCAGCATTTTTCAAAATTTCCAGCTCCTTATTCCCAAGGACGAACTCCTCATAAGGCAGTTCTCCAAATGATAGCCTCGAGATCTCAAACATCTCGTGGAGTGCAGAACCTAATTCACCAACAGGAGTGAAAAAGGTATTGATATGAGGGCTGTAGAATTCCAGCATGGCAAAAAGGCCGTTGTAGTTTGGAGAAATCCCGTATCGAGTACCCAATATCAGGGTTCTCAGGTCAAAATTCTAAGGGGATCTTCCAATTCCTCTAGAGCAAAATTTACCATCCGAACCTACCATTCAGTCTCACTTGAATGTACCCATGTCGGAGCTCTAAAGTCTTGGGCGGGGAATTCTCCTTGCACAAAGATAAATTTTCTAATGAATGTATTCACCAGCTTAGCAAACTCACCGATGGGATGTTCCTTTTTAACTGAACCAAGCTTCAAAGTCATAAAGTAATTGAGGCCAGCTAGGTGAGCACCGCGATGAGTAATATGTCCAGTAGCGACGCCACCTTGTTCCTGGACAAGTTCTCAATCCATAGATCGTGGAACAGAAGCACACTGATAATAAGAGATCGACCACATCCGCTCCAGATTTGGCAAAAAAAGGTGACAATCATTGACGGTTCTCAGCCACTTGTAATTTTCATCAAACATCCGCTTCGGGCCTATATTAACAGAATCTCTAAAAAGGAAGGCTTGTTTCTTTAAAACATTACGATCTGCTGTCTCAAACTTTGCATCTATAACCAAGGATCTGAGGATTTCAGGAAAGCCTGAGTGATGAATTTTACCATTTCTTTGTTCGTATCCTGGAATATAGGATACTCTAAACTAAAACTGAAGAGCGTATTTTTATCTGCACCTCCTGCATGATCGAAGTAATTATTGAAGGAAGGATGCTCACTGGAGTAACGCGCTGCACAAAATGAGATGAAAGTCAGTATCAAAAATGACATAAAAAGTCCAAGAAGACTTAGTCAAAATGCATGGAATAATCATGCATTCTACATGACAAACGCAAGGGTTAGACCCGTATTCCAAATTCAAGAACGCAGAGGTCAACCCAACGGTCCAAGTGATAAACGTAGGGTCGAAACCCAGTGTGTCAAACTCAAAATGCAGGGTTAAAACCCAGCGTTTCAAACTCAAAATGTAGGGTCAAAACCCAACATTTCAAACTCAAAACACAGGGTCAAGCCCAGCGTTTCAAATCTGGAACACAAGAATTGATCATGCATTTTAAATCAAAAAACGCAAAAATTTTACCCCATTGCGTTCCGATGGCTAAACGCGAGTTTTCACTCTACGTTAATTGTTTGGAACTTGTCGAAACAAGTTATTTAGGTCTCCAACTTACCACTGGTAGGAGGAGTCGACAGCGACGGCGCAGTCGCCTAAGCACCGTTGGCAACCTCAGCCACCGATGGACCTTGAACTGCTACTGGTTTCTAGGATTTGGAAGCAGTTTTCTTCTTGGGAGCCATTTCGATCTCATCGAAGAAGATGAACGAGCTTACCGGAGAAGAATAAACGAAGATCTTCGTTGGGTTCACTGGAGAAGATGAACAGGACGCCTGTTGAGTTCGCTGAAGAAAACAAAAAAGTCAAATGACTTTTGATTTGACCTTTGGTGGTCTATTTTATAGATAGCTGGAACTGTCAAATCGGAACGAGATTTTAGGCAAAAATCCCACTAGTTTTAAGTCGGTTAGACTGCTAAACGCAAGGGTTAATCCAACATTTCAAGATTCTAAATGCAAAGTTTAACCTTGCATTTCAACTTTCAAACGTCAGGTGTAATCTTGCATTTCAGCTTTCCAAACGTAAGGTGTAACCCTACGTTTCATGTTTCAAAAGCTAAGGACCAATGTTGCGTTTCAGCTTTCAAATTAACCCTCATGACGAGCTACCACAACCATTGGGGTTATTGTATAGAGAAGCTAGCAATGACCATCAAGGTGACAAAATCCGAGAAGAAACTAATTTACAACAAGAAGCTATGCAGTCTCTTCGATGAGTACCAATAAGTTATAATGGTTGTCGTTGACAAAATCGAGCTTGATCCCCCGTGCAATTCATCCTTTCAAATGGCTTAACATTCCCACTAAGATTAATAAGGATATTGTTCAAATCATTACCCTTGATGAGTTGATCAAGAAAAGAGACAGAGCGAGTCCTCCTAAATTATTATTTTAGTCAAACTTAGGCTGCGCCTTGGGTGTTCATCAATACCTATAAGGACCACTTTAACCAAATTTAGGCTGCGCATTGGGTGTTCATCAATACCTATAAGAATCATTTTAGCCAAATTTGAACTACGCATTGGGTGTTTATCAATACCTATAAGGATCATTTTAGCCAAATTTGAGATGCACCTTGGGTGTTCATCAATACCTATAATGATTATTTTAGCCAAATTTAGGCTGCACCTTGGGTGTTCATCAATTCCTACAAAGATCATTCTGGTCAAATTTGAGCTGCATTTCACATATTTATCAGAATTTACGTATTCAATAACGTAGCGGGTTGTTATTAATAACGCAAAAATCCACGCCTCACATGTATGGGGGATTTTGTCTCGATCCTTAATTAGAGACAAGATGACGCCTAACATGCGTCGACGGTTAGTCTTTTCCCCGTGAAAATGACAAAGTCTATATATTCAATCTCAGGTATAATATCATCGTCTGATGAACACGTTTTCTTCTGAGGACTTGCTGCCTTGTTGACATTCTCAAGAGTCACACGTTTGGAGCCACGCTTTTGTGAGCGTGGGACCTTAATGGGCTTTTGGACAATGACTCACAGTTCGAGATAGTCAGTTACAGGAGCTTCCCCATTATAGAAAATCCCTGACTTGTCACAAGGGCGTGTGTGACCCCCAGCTCGAGTAGTTACTCAGGGTTCAGTCACCGGACCCAAGCACTCTTTGATCAAAACTTTGCTTCGATCCCTGTGCAAAGGACCCAGACGATCCTCCATTGCTTTCTTGCCTCTGGATGAATTCACACTGTTGCGTGGCTTTACTGTATGTGAGGGATCAATTGGGACAGGGACAAACATTGACAGATGTGGGAAAACAGGCATAGAACAACTCCTGTCTCGCCCCTGGCGCGGCACAGGTCCTTGTGACCCACCCTTGGTCGGGTCACCACTTGGTGACCCGTGGGCGGCCCGGTCACCAGCATCGGTGACCCCGCCAAGCTTGGCCGAGTCAACCACTTTGCGTGGCACCGTTGGTGGTTGCGTCGACTAAGGGGTGACCCGTCGGTGGTCGGGCCACTGTAGGGTGACCCGTTGGTGGCCAGGTCACCGTGTTGTGTCTCGTATTTTTTTTGTCTTTTCGGCCATCGTTTTGAACTTCGGCCTCCATACTTTACGCAGTCTTGCCAGTTTGTTGGCTTTGTCCTCCTTCTGCATCTTTTGTGCCTTTTGCACAAGAATTCATGTGTGCACAAGCAGTGCTCGATGTTTTTGGATGCGCTTCTCAAGGGTCGAACATGTCCTTTTGACTTGGATCCATTCGTTCGTTGCTGGTTTGGAGGAGGGGTCATTTGTGTTAGACCCTAGAGGGGGGAGGGTGATTAGGGTCTTTTGCTAATCTAATCTGATTTAAATGCTAATTAAAACTTATTATTAAATTATTCTTACAAGATAGATATACAATATGTTATAAGCAAGAATAAGCAATATGAATAAAGGGAAATATCCTAGCAATGAGATATACAATGAGATATATGCAAGGATATGAAACTAACTCAAGGGTAAATAATCTAAACTAGATAGTAAGCAATATAAACAAAGAGACAAATGCACAATAAGATGAACAAAAATAAGTGCGCCAATGCAAACTCAAACACACGATATGTTCATGGAGTTCGGTCCCCACGACCTACTTCTCCGCTCCTCACCTCGATGAGATCTCCACTATCACAACCGGGTTTTTTATGCTCACCCGAATAACGTTTACACCTCAAACTTGGTTTTCTAGCTAACCGAAAACTCTACAAACTCACACTATCACGACCGGGTTTTCTATGCTCACCCGAATAACATTTATACCTCACAATATGGTTTTCTAGCTAACCGAAAACTCTACAATCTCATACTATTGTAATCACACTTTACACCCTCTTAAGTGTTGGTCTCTAGCCCGTGTCTCCCTCAAGTGTTAGGAATTATAACCTCTCTCTAAGTATTGTTACCTACCCCACTCCTCTTGGGACGACCCTGTCTCTCACGACATACTCCTCTCAGTGTACAAGGGTATTACAAAGTGATCTACACAATTAGGCACGAATACAACAGTGGTTGTTCTCTACAATGGATGAGAACTCAATTAAGCTCACTCTCAATTGTTACAACTCCTCACACCCCAAATAATACTATGAATGTAAATACAATAAGCTCAATATGGATGTGTGGAACAATAAGATTTATCAAATCTAAACTCAATACAAAAACTAGCTTTAATGAATAATAATCTAGTAAATATGCAAATGTAAAGCTAGATATGAGTTTAGAAAACTTCGTAATAAATCAAGAGAGAGAGGCAGAAGAGTTGGATGCTCAAACATCGATGGATGATCTTCCTCAAGCTCTTGTGAAATTTTTTTTCACAAAAAAAACTCTCAAATGCTTACAAGCTTTTTAAACAAACTTAAACCAAACATAAACCCTTGTTAAAAAAAATCTTAAACTTGTTTAAAACACTCTCATAGTTGCTCTGGTAGTGGGGGGTTTGAGGGTTTATATAGAAAAAGAAAACAACAGCCAAATCCCCAAACGAAAGACCAAAAAGCCTAAAGAATCAAAAATCTGATTCTGTACAAAATATAGTTGTTGGGCGATCAGCGGTCTACCGTGGGAATTTCGAGGTCGACCGCGAGCAACTCTAGAAACTATTTTGGGCTCTGGACATCAGCCGATCGACCGTGACGGTCGACCGTAAAACTCTTTGGACTGCATCCGGTAGACCGTCACAGTTGACTGCGAGCCTCTGAAAAACATCCTGAGTCTCTGGACTCAAGACGGTCGACCGTGGTGGTCGACCACAAACAGATATATGGATTTAACAGGTTTTGAAGCAGTTTTCTGATTTTGAAACCCTATTTAAAAATATCAAACAAATTCTAAAAATTATAAAACTTTGCGAAAGGATTGTAGACATGATAATAAACATGTTACCAAAGCTGGTTTTCAAAAAGGACATACCAAAAGAAAAATATCATTATTTTGCAAAATATTCCAAAACATAAAAATGTAAACACATGAGTTTTGACGTTTTAGCTTAATCATATTTTGAAACATTACAAAATAATTTTGTAGACTTAATAAAAGATGTATATGATTATTGTTAAGCCCAAAAATTGAGAAAACAATATTTTTACAAAATTGCATATTCTATGCAATATATTTTTAAACACAATAGAATATGAAACAAATGAAAATGTGAATAGTTTTGTTTGTTGTTGCGTATCTATGTAGCTAAACCAAAACAAAATAATAAATATGAAATTTGTAATTTCATATTTATAAACATAAAAAACCTAAAAATATGTATGTATATATATAACTATATATATACATAGAAACCAAAAACATATATGTATATATATAACTATATATACATAGAAACCAAAACTAAAATGTGTGTGTGTGTGTGTGTGTGTGTGTATATATATATATATATATATATATATATATATATATATATATATATATATAACTATATATATCTATATAAAAACCAATATAATGTGTGTGTGTATATGATTGAGCTTAAAGTACTAACACACATAATATAACACCTAAACTAAATGTTACCCAAGCAATCTTGACCTTCAATAAGCTTGACTTGGTACACTGTGCGGATGAAGCTTGAACTTGGATCTTCAACTTGAATTACGTAGCTTCACTCTACTATTCCACCAACCTCCATTAGATTTGATCGTGAATGCTCGATTCAATCCATCCTCCAACATGTTGTTTGTCTATAATAAATAAGAAAATACAAATACTAGACAAACAATATTAGTGGTAAATTATTTGTTAAACATCATCAAAACAAAGAGGCCAACAATTTGCTCGCAGTTAGGGTGCTTGGTGTTTCTTGAATTTCAGATCTGCCCTATAACGAATCCCGTCCACTGGCTCAAAAGCCTTAGCGACTTGGCAAGCGAGGTGTTGACGTTGCCTTTTACGTGCCCTCTTCGATAGGATTGGTGCGCCTTTAGTACTCAACTCCTTGATTAAGGAGGAGTTCAGATCTGTAGATCCGGCCTCGTTGGAGGCCAGATGGGGGTTACAAGGTGCAGCTAACGCAGCAACGGGGGCGTTGATCTTCCTGCGCTTGCGAGTGGGGTAGGATCTGGAGGAGGAGGATGACAAATACTCCTCGAACTTCTGTTGGTCGAACTCGTGCTCAAACTCTTCTTCAACCGGGATCCAGATCCGAGGCTGCAACACGATAGCCTCTACAGAAAAGCTGTTGGCTCTCACTGTGGTCGCCAGCGTGTTTGTGTCAAAAGTTGTATTTTGTATTGTTTTGAACCTGTTACAACCGTTTATCGATTACAAGTTCAAAAATAGAAAAGTTGATCTTTTTATAAGATCTTCTTACACAATAAAAAATAAAAGATTATAACTTTGTCAAACAACATACAGATCCTATTTATTAGTCTCTGTTTGTGCGGGATCTTCACCTGTGCCGGGGACGCGTTAGTCCAAGGACCATCGCGGATCAGATCCGGTTAACAGAAGATTGATTAAAGCTCTTACTTCACAAAGGAAGTAATCACTAAAGTGATAATCTCGACCAAATAAGATTACGACTCTTCTCGAGATCAAACCAAAGTTTGATCTGGAGGAAAAAGGAAATGGGCTTCAGATCCTTCAAAACGCTCCTTCTTTATGCCGAAGTTCGCCAAGATCTGCTAGCCCTCTGAAATTCATCAGAACCTCGCTCTAGCTCCTCTAAAGTTCATGGCTTCTTTCAAATCTGTCTTTATGAGTGTGCTAGGGGTGTATTTATAGGCTTTAAATGCCATGTTTGTGGATAGGAATGTCGTGTTTGTGGATAGGATCGAAGAACAACCATTATTATCCGTTTAGGCGGGTTTTTAGTTATATAATAGCTTCCACACATTTAATGATAACTCCACATATTTATGGATTACTCGAGGAGTTCTAAAAGCTAATCTTATCAGAAAATACGTTGGGATCTGACTTGGGCGCGAGTCACTTCGACTATCTCGCATATGTCCGAGATAGTTTGGACTATCTCGGGTATTTTGGTCTTAACTCTTTTGTCTGACCTCAGAATAATATGATTAAAGACACGTTGGAAATCTAACAAAGAGACCTACAACTTTTATCTTTTGAGATTCTTCAGATTAGAATTGCATCATGGCCAAAATATGAAATACATAATTGGTGTCTCCCAGGTGCGAAATAGTCTAGACTGCCTCGATTGTTTTGGCTCTAACTCCCTCGTTTGACCTCAGAATAAAGTGATCCAAGGTGCATTAGAAAGCTCACGAAGAGCTCTATAATATCCCATGGGAAAGACACCCATGGGATGACCAAGACCCGAGTGGTGCTTACTCCTTTGTGGGTGAAACGTAACCCCAGGTCGAGTCGCTTCTTCGTTATTGTACCATCCTATTGATTTATATGCTTTATCAACTCACTTTGTGCATTTGTTAGCTTTTCTATAATATTATATAATCCTCTTTGATTTGGATAATAACATTCTTTATCTTCTCTTCTACTCGAACTGCGTGCGGGAACCTATAGGCAATTTTTGACGCCTACAATCGCATAAGGTACCTTGTTATGAAAATTTAATGTTATTTTTATTTTATTAATAATTTAAATTTGAAACTTACTTTATTTCCCATTCTGCTTCTTCAGTATTGCAATTGTTGCAGTTAGCTATGGCGTCTTCAACAAAAACCTTTCTTTGGCAACTCTTGCATGTAGTATAACAAAGTGATTCTGGATTGATTATTGTTGATATCTCTGCTTAAAGTAGAAATAAATATTCTAAAAAATAGTACTCAGACTATAAATTTATAATTTCTTATTATTTAACTTATTAATATTTCATCCAATATAATAAAATACCTATTTTGTAGCTATTGATGATGTGATGATATCACCAAGCATAATCTTCTTAGATCTTCTCATTAGCTTCGATGGAGTTTGCTACATCAATTTCTCATAAATTTTTTCCCGTTCCCATCATCATATATTTAAGACATGTATTATTTTTAAAAAATTATATTAAGAAAGATTTTATTTTCATAAGCATTACCATTCTTTAAGAGCGTGTGCTTCAGTAATATCTGGATCTAACAAAAATATTATTGTAGGTTTTGATGATAGTTGCAAAACTCCTATATTCATTATATGGTTACTCTTTGGTTATATAATTTTTTGAGAATAATTAAATTAAAAACTCTTACCCATGTATCTATTTGCAATCATATTAATTATTGCCATAATTAGTTTTTGTTTCTTTCTGCCTTCGAATATTTGACCTTCTTTCTCTGCATGCTCTCCCCATAATGTTAATACCAATGGATCATCTTGTGTTAATTATAATAAATTGTTAAATGGAAATGTTAGTATTTTATTATTTGTTAGTGAAAATATATTTCATCTTTAAAAAAACATACTCTTAAATTATTATTATGATCTCTCTTCTAACTGATGTATTTGTTGTGTATAATTGTCTCACTGAAGTGATGAATCCTAACACATCTGTATAAACATTAAAATTTTAGTGCTTAAAATTTTAATTTTGTATTAGAAATTCTATATTGTTGATATTAAAAATTTAGCATACTAAAAAAATATATTTTCATTATTGTAGTCGTCACCTCTTGGAATAACTTGAATGAAAATGGTAGAGTACCAATATTGATTTCATTATCGGATACTATGATCTTTGTGTTTTGTCCAAAAGCAAGCTCAAAATTAGGATTCACCGATGCATATTTCCTATTTATAGGTCTGACTATACCATTCTTGATGATAATAGTATTGTTGAGATGGATGTATTCTTTAAATGTTTTAATTGTAGCATTGAATAGTGTAGCTTGAATCTTCATTCCCCGTATTAATTTGTTGTAACTTAAACTTCAAAATAAATTACTAGTTAAGTATAAATTTAATGAAATTCAAATAAAATATTAAATATTTCATTTGAAGAGTTATACATACCTCTTCGTCAATCAGAATAATCTTTGAACATAACCTGAGCCTTTTGAAGATGAGAATTGCTTCAAGGACATTTTTAGTATAAGCACTTTGATTGAGAAAGATTATTGATATAACTTCAAATCCTTTATGAAGTTATTGTCACCTTTACCTTTACGTTGTCTTTCAGCAGACATCTTCACTGTAATCTGAGTAAATATTAGAAATATGAAATTATTAAAATTTTAAAAATTATAGTAAAGATATTGATTTTTTTTCACCATCTTCTTATTGTAATATTTAGTCCTATAAAATAAATAAATTAAATTTTGATATTTTTTGTTATTGACATTTACAATAAAGAAGTTAGTCATTTAAATATTTGTCCCTACCTTTTCTTTGGATAGAACTTCTTTGTAGACAATATTTTTGGTGTATGTATAACCTTTCTTTTGTTTTCTTTCACCTTTAAGCAGCACTCTTGTAGTGTTTGTTGATATACCACGAAATAAAGGGACGTATAATTGTCCATGTGAAAAAACATGTTGTGGTAAGTAAATACCCACTGTGCGAATTGTTTACCCCTGTGCTTTATTTATTGTCATTGTGAAGCATAACCTTATAGGAAATTATTTTCGTTGAAATTTGAAAGGGTAATTTTCATTTTTAGCAGGTGATAACGGTTTCCTTGGAATCATTACTTCTTGAGCCGCATGATGACTTTTTGTTATTTCTGCTTTAATAACATTCTTATCAAATTCTTTGCAAACCATTCTAGTTCCATTGCAAAGTCCATTTGATGGGTCAAGATTTCTAAGTAACATTATCGGACAATTATGCTTCAGCTTTAGTTTGTGCGGCGAAAGACCATTAGGCATCAACTTGTTTAGAAATTCTTCTTAGTAGTAGTTGTTTGGATCATCAACAGCCTTGTCAAAACTATGGAAAATAAACCCATCACCAGGAAATTTTTCCAAAAGCTTGTCATTGAGCTCATCTACATATTCATTTTTGTTGCAAGAATAGCTCGTTCTGTCATAGATTCAGCTGAATTTGCATTTTGCTCAATTGATGGAAATACTTGGTTTAATAATTCAACTTCTAATTGTCCATTTTTGCTATCTTCAATCACAATACTTTCAAGAAGTCTAATTAGTTCATCATTAGTTATTTTTTCTGTTCCATTTTCGATGCGTAGCAAGAATTTACTGAATTCTTCATCATTTCTTGCTCACATGTTTATTTTAAGGTTATCTTTTCCATAGTCTTCCACAAATAAGATTTTACTAACCTGGCATTAACTGTTTGGCTTCTTGTTCCTCTTGGAATAATGAGCAACACTTGACAAAAATCTCCTCCAAAAACGACTACTGTACCACCAAACAATTCTTCTGTACTCAATAGGTCTAGCATTGTACTATCTACACTTTCAATTGCTACTCGTTTTGCCATAGGTGCTTCATCCCAAATAATTAATGTTGCTTTTCTAATCAAATGTGTAGTACCTTCCTGTTTAGATATATTACAAATTGTTGCCTCATTAGCATTAATAGGTATCTTAAACCGTGAATATGATGTGCGTCCACCAGGTAATAAAGATGTTGCTACTCCCGAAGTTGTAGTTACTATTGTAATCATTCCTTTTGATCTAACATTGGCAAATATAGTTCTATACAAAAATGTTTTTCCTGTCCCTTCAGTACCATCTATAAAAAAAGTCCTCCCTTATTCATATTAACTCTATCCATTATTATATCAAAAGCTTTTCTTTGATCTTCATTTAATTTATTCTTACCCTCTATATCTTCTTGATGGACTTCAACATCTATCTCATCCTGTATGATTCGTAGATTACATGATGGATCACCTATTTCATCCTCTTTAAATTTAGGTAAATCAAAATCTCGTATTGTCTTCCCCATGCTCTCTAAGAAATAATTAACTCCCTCTAATGTCCATGCAGTTTGTTCTGCATCAATCGATGTAGATTTGTGAACGAAATCTTCAAACATTGCTGCTCTATATCTCTCCCATAAGATTCTGACATTTTTTGGTTGACAATAAACAAGAATAGTTGCAAATAATCTTCTTAATGTGTATGGCATCTAAAAATTTACAGCTTCATCCAAGCATTCGACTGTACTATCGTCAGATTCTAAGAGTCCTCTTTTCTATGCAGACTCTTTAAAGGTCCTCCACAATTAATCCATTAGTAGTAAGTAAGTCCTCCCAAGAAGTAGGACCTTTAACATGATTCAATAATAGCCTTAAATAATATCTCTCCCCCTCTATTGGACTTGCTGAATTTATCCATTCAATCACGACCCTTTTTTCCTCTCATTCAATATTTCTTTCCTACTACCATACATAATGTTTAGGAAATTCTCTGTACAACAACATCCTTACTTTTTGATCTGATGCATATTTTCTAAAGAATTCTGTAAGCATTGTCTTAGTTATGTGCTCCCACGTCATAATATTTCGAAGATCTTCATTATTCAAATAAACATTTTGCATATTTGGAAGATGTAAGTGGAGGTTAATGACAGGGGGTTGCATATCATTTATCTTAAATTTAAAAATCCGCCAAATTGCTTCTTGTGTTGATACCCATCTAGCATCTTGGTATTGTTTGATCTCATCTACAAGATGTCTTTCCTCATTTGATGTAATGCACACAGCTGCTTTGTCATGCCCTTTGTATATATATTTATAAAGATATTTTACAGCCTGAAGTCCAGAGCATACTTCAACATTAACATGACAATTATACATACTTAATAGGTAAGGGTTGTATGAAACAATCCATTGATTGTCTAAAATTGTGTTACATACAAAAATTTTCTTTCCATCATTCCTTTGCATATATATTGGATAGCCACCACTCCTAAACTTGTCTTTGAACAAAAAGGATGTGGGTAGTGATGTTTACATTTTTCTTCAACCATGCATAGACTTGTTTTCCTCAAAGATCCACAAGGGCCATAAACCATATGTTTTACCACCTTTTCATGCAACATTGAAAATAGTGACTAATGTGGTTATTCTACCGATATAAATTTATCAAAATGATCTGGGCTCATTAACTTATATTCATGCTTCAAAATTAATAATATATGAGCATGTGGAAGTCCCCTCTTTTGAAATTCAATGACATAGACACGAACAACTACTTTACCAAAAACTTCTTTCTTAAATAGCTGGTCTTTAAGATCCTCTATTTTCCCTCTAAAAACTCTAGAAGAAAGATCTGGTCTATCCTGTACTATTTGTCCATTTAGAAGTTCATTCCTTATTTCATCCTAATCTGCATTGCATGTTATTATAATGAAGACATCCGGTTTACTGTATTTTTGAACAAGAGCCATAGCATCCATATAACGTTGCTTCATATCTTTGTTCTCCTATAAAAGATGGTGGTAAAACTATGCTATGTCCAACTTGATCACCACGTGTTTCCCCAGCAGTAAAACTATCAACAATTCCTTGATATAATTCTGCTCTTATATTTGATTGATGTTTTCAAAAGAAATCAAGTCGTGTTGTCTCTAACTTCACATACATGTCCACAATAAACTGTTGAAACAATCGTCCAACAAGTAGCATAATGGATTTTATTAGATTCCGAATCTGAAGCTTGTTGTAATAATACTCCCTACAAGAAACATATTGCCCTCCTTGTCTTTCGATATCTGTTATTTTCTTAAAAATTATAAAAAATTAATAGGATATATGATATATTTTACTAACGAGATTAAAATTTGGCGTTGGTTTTACCTTATGATTGCTCCTCATTAAGTTGTCTAGCTAAATCCAAAGTCTGATTTTCTTCGATCATATTTAATTGTCTTATTTCATTCCGACCTTTGTAGATAAACTGTTGCCACCCACTCTCTCCATTTGGAAATAAAATCAGATATTATAGAGGATCGTAGCAACAATAATAATGTTTGACCTGATGCCTTTGTCCAGAGTGCTCTTGTATTATAATCTCTCTATTTAATGGTTCATTTAGATTGTTTCCTTCTATCCAAATTGTCGCCACTTGCTCTGTTGTTGGAGAGTTATAAATTCTTTGGTCAAGGTTAGTATTCTTAGATATACGGATTTATAATTCTCTCAACGTTGGTACATCTTTAAGCCTGCATAGAATTTTTGCATAAGGATTGTCTTCTAGGATTTTCATTATAGTCTTAATTGTGTTTCTGTTAATTCCCTTCTTGTATGTCATTCATCCTATTTTGCAATTCATTATCTGTATCATAAAAATATAACTGGAAGAAGCATGGTCTATCATTTTGTGGTATCAATCCAGGCAAACTATGGTAAATCTAACATTGTGCTCTAAAAGTGTATATTCCATGCCTTGAAGATGTCAATTTTTTATAAATTGCTACCCCAAATGAAGTGAATGAGAAAACACTATTATATGCTCTAATGTTTCTCTTAAACTCAACACCCTCATTATAATTCAATGTTAGCAAGTTATATAATTCATCTAGAATATGAGGTTCCACAAGTACCATTTCTCCATTATTGCGGCAAAAAGAAGGACTCTCATATTCAAATTTTATTGCTCCACAATGGATGCAACTTGCTATCTTTCTAAGTTTGTGTAGTTCTGAATAAGACGACCTTGATATATTTGTTCCTATATGATTGTAATATGTTATTAGTTAATTTTATATGCTGTAAAAACTTAAATTATTATATTTTAAAAGTTAACAAAGCTCACTGTTGCATTCAACTTGGTAATTGGATGCTCGTTCTAGCCAACTTGCACTTCTTTTTATTGGTTGTTATTCTGTATTTTGACTATTATACATAGTCCTCTTTATTCTCTTATTTTGACACACCCTTCCAATATAAGTTTCTCCCTCATTATTACTTAGCTCGTTGTAGTAATTTTTTCTTTTGATTTTCTTTGATCCTGTTGATAGATCTGTATGAATATATTAGTATTATTTGTAATTAGTTATCTTATGGATGCATTAGAAAAATTAAATTTGTTTGACTAACCTTCATTTGGTTCCATTTGTTTTTTCCAATAATTTTTGACGCAAACTTGTGAGAATATTATTTGGAATTGTACAATAATTGAACGTTAATTTATTTTGGTCATATAATAAATTTAAATTTAAAATTTAAATTGTTATAATTATAAATTTATTCATTATGTAATTTTAATAATTGACACAATGGAAAATTTCATGATGTAGTTATATGCAATTAAGTTAACATACTAATTGCAGCACTAATAAAACTATTGTTATAATTACTATATGAACCATATAAAGCATTAATTTTGAAAAGGAAATGTACCTTGTTTTCCTTGTTGTAGTTGTTGGTTGTTCTAATTCTTTATACCTGAAAAAAATATCGAAAATAAAAAGTTAGCATTACATCAAATTATCTTAATTTGGTTGTTATATTTTATTTTTGTAACTTTTGTTAATTCAATTTATAATTTCTTTTCAAAATAAATATCTTTTTAGAAAATATTTATTAAAAAACAAACATATGAAATAAAATTGCAAATAAACATCTCAGTTATAAGACAAATATTTTAATTTAATAGAGGAAAATATAACTTTGATAAGCAATACTTTTTTACTGGAACACCACCATGGAATCATTATTTGAAGATTGTCGGCATGTTGATGCCATTAAGATTGCTCACAGTGAAGGATGGAAATTTCATTGTTCAGGTTCGATGAGACTACAGATGGACATGTGAGAATGTAAATGGAGGAGATATGGACAATAGAAGAGCTAGATTTCAATATACAGAGCCCGAGCATGGAATGTTTCTTGCCTGCTGCTGGCATCCAAGAAGAAAAAAAATGCAATGATGTGGCAATGAAGAATGAGATTTCGCCTAAGAGAATACATAATGCTCTGATAAAGCTCGGTTCTTCAAAAGGTCGCTGCAATTGATATCGTAGACTCGGTCTGTTTGGAGGAAGAAGATGAGATGCAATGAACAATGACTTATTTGGTTTTGTAAATATAGAATCCATGTAAAAATTGGAACTGGCATGACAGAATTAGTGTCTTAGGATTGGAATTTGATCAACTGAAGCTAATACTGCTCTATTCTAAATAGTATAAGTACTAATAATATAACTTAAGCTGAATTCTAAATATCAATTTCTTGCATATCATATAAGTTGTTAGACTACTAAGTAGATAGAACTACAAGTATAAATTACTTCATTAGTTTTTTGATGTAGTTTGTGGAATGAATTACATGCACAACTCTAAAAATAAATCAGGATAGAAGAACTTGTCCATGAACGTGATTTATACACATGCTTTCAATCTATGAAAAAAGGAGTACAAAAGAAACAGGGAAGCGTCAAAGAGGTTTTTTGATGATATGATGAGGTCATATTTGTCTGCTTCTATGTTTACTTTTAATACTATGATTAATTTCTTGTGTAAAGAGGTGGATTTGGAGGCTGCAAGGGAGGTTTTTTCAAAGATGAAAGATATTGATTACTCACCGGATGTTGCTACTTATATTTCTCTCATTGAAACCAACAGAAAGAAGATAGGATAGGGCTGGAGAAATAAGTGGTGCATTAATCATACATTACTTTTTTTTTTGGTGATATTTTTACTCTGTGCTTTGTCCTTTGACTATCCACCTTGTTTTAACCTATGAAATAATTCCCAAGAATCTAAATGTTAGCACATGAACATAGGCAACTTTCCTACCTACGTAGTATCCTTCTCTTGCTCTCGGCACACGTTTAAGTTTCATAAGCTTTTCTATTAAATATTTAAAAAAAGGCTATTCTTCTGTTATTTTTGTTCCACTAATAGTTGTTTGGCTTAGAATTCGCCTTTGATGTGACCCAAATATGAAGTTAAAATGTTATGCTGCAAAGACCTTCCTGAGATAGAATTTGGAGCTCAAATTGATTTCAGAGAGTATTCCTTCCTTCAGAACCTAAGGGTATCTTAGCATGCAACCTAAAGCTCTGGAACCAACACTTGAATTTTATTTATTTATGTTCTCTAAATAGTTTTCTTCCCGTTGACTTTCCTTTCTATTTCTCACGTCAAAGATTCATTTATGGAAGTTCAGCTTTGTGACAAAGCAGTCAACAAAGAGCCATGTAGTGAATGAAACAATTACAATAGGATCTCTTTGATTTCCTAAGCATAGCATCGAAGAAATGGTAATATATCTACACATGTGGTGCTGTAAAGATTTGAATAAGCATTCTTTACATGGTTAAATCCGCTATGTCACTTCTGATTCCTCTTTTTGAATGTAGCGTGCAACATTTATTATTAGTCAGTGTATAATTAACTTATAAAGTTTTGCGTTTTTGATATGATAATGTTCAATTCGAACCAATTACTAACATAACATGTGTATGATGGATGATTCCACGTGTATACCATGTAAAATCTGCTTAACTGTACTCTGCTTCATGCTTATATTATAATGAGATCTGCGACACCTTGTAATGGGTATTCCACTCACCTTTGTCGGTCTCCTTTGATAATATTTGTTGCCTCTTGTATCATTATCGTTGTAATTTCTACATAATTTGATTGCTTACTGCATGTATGTATCAATATTAGATATTCGAAGGTCACCATGCTGGAAGGTTTAGGAGACTGATCAGCACTTGGCACCCCTGTCCTGCATCAGTAGTTTATTACGTATTCTTATGTTCAAAAGATGTTACTTTTAGTGCTTGGTATGAGACGTACCTGTTGGATAATTTGATGATCTAGGTATGAATAGATGAACTAAAAATATAAATTAATTACCGCTCACCGACAGAATAATAGAAGTCTTCTCCTCTCTTCTCCCGTAGCCAATGATGGGAATTAGGTCTCTTTTCTGCATACAGTTGAGAGGAGGGACTCCCACCCTTTATATAGATATTTGTGATTAACCCTACCCATCATGGTTTACTCACAACCGTGGGATTACACTCCGATTGATCCTATCCTTTAGATGTTCAAGATAATCACCCAACTTGATAAACTTGAAACTGTCTAACCAGACCATGTGGTTAGCATCCTGATCCTAACTTGAATCGATGGCAACTTTAAATCAAATCCAAAATCGAGTAGGTTGGGCCACTTGGGTTCGTTGGATTAATCGAACCCAACAATCTCCCACTTGGCACAACATACCTCATTTTAATTTTCAAAAATATTTTAATTTTTGAAAACTTTTAAAGTCGGGTGCACACCCATTTTTTTTAGAAAACAACTTGTTGCCATGATTCTAATTAGGATAGTTTCCGAAACCTTTTCCTTAAAACAAAAGTACCACTAATGGTTGATCGTGAAAACACTATATGCTCTAATATGGCACAAGGTCACTCCACGGTCCAACCGCTAGTACCACTAATGTTCTAAAGACATTTTCCTTATGGTGGTTTTAGTGGAGTGTAATAGAGCCGTACATCCCTTATGGTCAAATCCGATGTACGCCCTTAAGTGTCCTCTGCAACATACACAAACATGTATGCCGTTCTGAAACTTTTACCGGCATCCGCCATGTGAAAACCATCACCTTTAGTCCAGAACGAAAGCCTCAAATATGATGCCCAATCATATTCAGCTTCTGCACAAATTTAAGAGTCTCTTTACTTTAACCTTTATGACTCTATGGACCACTGTCTTTAATTCGAGTTTCTTTACAATTAACTTGAAACTCTTTACTTTAAACTTTAGTTTTCTTTACTTTAAAATATATATATCAAGCAACAATGACCAAGAACACAATGCTTGAAAATATCAAACTGCTAAAAATTAGCACAATAGTTTCTTTATGAGCTCAAAGCAATCCAGAATATAGTACTTGAAAACAAAACAAAACTACTACGACAACTGAATCTCACTGATCATATAGAATCAAAAGACTCTAAAACACCCATACTGGATACATGTTCCTTGAAGAGCCCTGGAGAAATTCCCTTGGTCAAAGGATCAGCAATCATCAACTGAGTCGGCAGATGAGGAACCTCAATCAATCCTTGTTCGACCTTATCAAGGACTAACTAATACTTCACACCGATGTGCTTATTCCTGCTAGAAAAATTCTTGTTCTTTACAAACTGTACAACTGCCTGAGAAAAATTCTTGTTCTTTACAAACTGTACAACTGCCTGATTGTCACAATACAACTTTACTGGTCTCTGAATGGAATCCACCACCTTTAGTTCACTGATGAAATTCTTGAGCCAAGAGGCATGCAATGTTGCTTCAAAAACAGCAACATACTCAGCTTCCATGGTGGATGTCGTCACTAAGGACTGCTTGACACTTTTCCAGGAAACTGCTCCTCCAGCGAGCAGAAATATATAACCTGATGTTGATTTCCTGCTATACGCACATCCGGCGAAATTTGAATCTGAATAACCAACGACTTCTAGATTTTCAGACCTTCTGTAGACCAACATAAAATCCTTGGTCCTTTGCAAATACCGCAAAACCTTCTTTACAGCTTTCCAATGAGCTACACCAGGATTTTTCTGAAACCTGCCTAATATTCCCACGATATAACTGATGTCCGGCCTGATGCATGACACCGCATATATTAGACTGCCAACTGCAGAGACATACTCCTCAAAGTTCACGAGCCTAAGCTCAACTTCATTTCGTGGGCATTGAGATTTGTTGAACATATCTCCTTTAACAACTGGGGCTTCACCTGGTGCACAAAACTTCATGCCATATCGTTGAAGGACTTTCTCAATATAAGCCCACCTGGTGCACAAAACTTCATGCCATATCGTTGAAGGACTTTCTCAATATAAGCCCTTTGAGATAAGCCCAACAAGCCTTTAATCGTTGAAGGACTTTCTCAATATAAGCCCTTTGAGATAAGCCCAACAAGCCTTTAGTTCGATCTCTATGAATCTTGATGCCACAAACATAATGAGCATCTCCGAGGTCTTTCATATCAAAATGCCTCGAAAGAAAATCTTTAGTCTCATGTAGGAGATGAATATCGCTGCTGGCAAGCAATATATCATCTACATATAATACTAGAATGATGAATCGGCTCCCACTGATTTTAAGGTATATGCAACGATCGACAGGATTCTCTCGGAAGCCATTTGATGTTATCACTTGATGAAATTTTAAGTACCACTGTCTGGAAGCCTGCTTGAGACCATATATTGACTTCTTCAATCTGCAGACCAGATCTCCCTTAACTGCAAACCCTTCAGGCTGCACCATAAATATTTCCTCATTCAGATCTCCATTCAAGAATGCCGTCTTGACATCCATCTGATGGAGCTCAAGGTCAAAATGGGCGACGAGAGCAAGAACTATCCTGAGAGAATCTTTCTTAAATACTGGAGAAAAAGTGTCGACGTAGTCAATCCCTTCTCTCTGCTTGAAACCCTTGGCCACTAGCCTGGCCTTGAATCTCTCAATATTTCCTTCAGAATCCCTTTTGGTCTTGAAGACCCATTTGCATTCCATCGCTCTAGCTTTGTTCGGCAAATGTACCAACTCCCAAACAGAGTTCTTTTCCATTGACTGAAGCTCTTCTTCCATAGCCTTTAGCCAATCAGCTGCATGCATGCTGTCTCTAGCTTGTGAGTATGATGAGGGATCATCGGATTCTGGATCAATGCATCCACTTTCTTGAAGATAGACCTCATAGTCATCAGGTATGGCAGATCTTCTGACTCTAGAGGATCTTCTAACAGGTTGTGGCTCTTCTGCAGGTACAAATGTTTCTTGAACTGGAGGAGGAGGTGGAAAGCTATCTGGAAGAGTAGGAAATCTAGAGATGACATCTAATAGCGGAAGCGACTGCTCATCTTCTAAAACTTCCTCAAAACTCAGACCACGATGTTCTGAAGAAGCATTAGGGTCTTCCAGAAACTCAGCATGTTGTGTCTCAAAGAACTGGGTAGACCGAGAAGAACAATAGAACCTGTAGCCCTTAGATCTTGCAGGATAGCCGACAAAGCGACACGACATTGTTCGGGCTTCTAATTTCTTAATGTCTGGATTATAAGGTCGCACCTCTGCTGGACATCCCCAAACACGTAGATGACCAAGACTAGGATCCCTGCCAGTCCAAAGCTTGAACGGGGTCTCTGCTACCG